TATATATATATATATATATATATATATATATATATATATATATATATATATATATATATATATATATATATATATAAATATAAATATTTTATGTTGATGTCATATGTTGATATGTTGATGTCATATGTTGATATGCTAATGTCATTTTTGTTATACGTTAATGTCTTGTGTGATGCTTGTAAAAAAGAAAAAACTTAAATTGAACACTGTATGTGCGTCAATAAAGTTGACATATGTGGTCGATATATATATACATTCGTAGGAATGTTTAGATTTGGTAAGGTAATATAAATATTATTATGAATTATTATTATGAATTATTTATCATTGTTTTTATTATTTATTATTAATTTTGCTTTAATATTTTATCTCTTACATACAACGAGAAGGATGTAACGAGCTACATTTCATTTGGCAATAATGATGATGCTATATAAGGACAAAACACACACACACCGCACACACACACACATACACATGCACACACAATTTGCTAACCTTTTGACCTTTTGGTGATAAAAAATTTTTTCGTTAATATTTTTTAACATTTGCAACAAGCATCGGGTTAACATTATTTACGAAAATATTTTAAATTTATTATTATCAATATTAATTATAATTATGATAATTAATAATAATAATTGATTAAAAAGTATTCATTTTTATTATTTAAAACTAGAGCAAAAAAAAATCCGCCGATAAATTTTTATACAACTCTCAATGGCTTATTATATAAAAAAAAATTTTTTTTAAACATTTTTGAGACTAATAAATTTTTTAAAATAACTAATAACAAAAACAATGATAATTATTATTGTTTCTCTCTGATTATTTATGATTATTTTATTTATAATTATTTTTATTATTAAGTTTCTTCAACAACACGCAAAATGCAGTCGCCATATTTTAAGCGTTTTTTCCCTCTTATATACCGTCAATACGTATATACATAATATATGCACGCCCATATATATTTATATATGTGTGTGTGTGTATATGTGTGTATATAATTGTATCTATACACATATCTGTGTGTGAGTGCCCACGTGTATGTGTGAAGTTGGAAGGAGGTCAGGTCACTTGTACACATAATATACAAATAATGTCGTTTTTTATTTACGTGTGCGTAAAGAGAGAGAGAGAGAGAGAGAGAGAGAGAGAGAGAGAGAGAGAGAGAGAGAGAAATAAAATTATCAACATCTCATCGCATACAAACACATATCACAAAAACACACAAACAAGCAAACAAACAAACTGACAGACAAAAAAACAAGCAACATACATCGCATCACAACACAACAGAGGAGTGCAATGGAGTGCAACATTGTTGGCGTGCGTGCGAACTAAGACATTTGCCGATTGAAAATGGAATGGAAAAGCACTGGAGCGATTGTTGTTGACCATCAGCTGGTCTCAATAGACTTAATTATGTTAAGTTTCGGTGATGTATGTCGTTCGATTGTTTGTTTCTGGTGCTTTATACCATTGTTATGTGACTGTAAATTTGTCTTGTTTATCGTTCAATGAGAGGATTGTGATGGGAAGTGTGTGGAATGTGAATAATTGAATGTGTGAACTGACTACGTGAGTGTTACACATTGTTTGTTGATGATTCATTAAGTTGTTAGTTTCTTTCTATCTCACTCTGTCTCTCTCACTCTGTCTCTCTCTCTTTTTTTGATCATTTTTATCTCTTTTACTCTTTATCTCTCTATCTCTCTCTCTCTCTTTCTCTCTCTCTCTCTCTCTCTCTCTCTCTCTCTGGTATTTCGATTGAATTGTTTTTAAGTTGGGCTAAAGGGAAGATGTTTGTATGTCTCGAAAGCTCATACGTTTGTACTTTTTATATCACTTTAGCTTCCAGATTTTGTTGTATAAATCTAAATCGTTTAAATTTTAACAAACTTGGAAAAAAAATTAATTTTATCATTTTAGTTTGTATATCAAATTTGTTAGTAATGGAAAATTACAACACAAGATGACGAATTGATAAATACATAACAGCGCGTCATTATCTTAACAATCAGCTTTTGAGGTTGCCATTATCAACAATCACCATTTTATTCAATTACCATCATCGTCGTCGTCGTCATCATTGTTACAACGAATCAGACGTTTGAAAGGTTCTAGCTCCCTCATAACTCTAACCTGGTACTTCTTATTAAAGAGCACAACAACTGGCAGGTGCACTGTGGCCTTCAAGATCTGTATGAAATTCGCATAGACGTTTAAATATCCGAAGAAAATTTGTGCGTTTGCTAGGTATCTCATGACAAATTCGAACGATTTGAACATCAAAATGATCATCTTCAGTGCCACGCATATCAGATAGACGGTGCAGGTGATGGAAATGACTAGGGATGGGTAGAGGACTGATTCTCTGATCCTCTGGTTGTCTGATATCACTCCAACTTTACCTTTCTTGCATTTCTGACGAACGTATCGTTCATTGAAAGTTTTCAATGGAATTGCGGCGTCACTGCTTTTCTCGTAGGCACGACAGGATGACATGAAATTCAAATTATCGGTCATTTTGACTCTCTGCGACTCGTGAAGGGCGTCAAAGGTACTCTTGACGATGCTGACGATCATGACGTAAGGTAGGACGTGCGTGTTCATCGAATACGTCAGACTGAAGAACAGAATGTAAAATAAATCACTGCCGCACGTCTCGTTCAGCACAAACTCCCAGTGGTTAAGGAACGGCATGAGAAGGTAGTTGTGCACATTTTTTCTAAAAACATTCTCGTTGATGAGACTTCTCAACTCAGGGACATAAACGCTGAAATAAAGGGCAATGCAGATAAATACAAACATTGGCCAGAATTTATTTGTGGTTCTTTTATGGTTGAAAACTATATTTCTGATGATTTTGTTTCCTTCCGAAGCGCACATGTACAGCATCCAGTTGGAGAAGCACTGGAATGTCCCAACCCAAACAGATAGGTAATGTACAAAATGGTATTTGCCGGAAATTTGGCAGTAGTACATCTTGAGCAAATCAACCTGCTGGTCATAAGTGAGAGTCGTGTTAGTAGTGTTAATGGTAATGTTGCAACTTTCAACGTAGACTGATGAAATATTGGCTAGCTCTTCAGTGCAGTTCAGTTTACTTGAAACGTCGAAATAATGTTGAATCTCTAACGATCCATTATAAAATAGCAAGTTATCACCGCGCGGTCTTGCAAGCATGAACGAGACCAAACTAACTAGATAAATCTGATCTGCCAGAATGACACTGATTGACATCCAACGCAATTTCTTATCAACGAGTTTATCCTTGTACCAGATGACGATGGCGCCGATGTTTAGAAGGACGCCTAGAATGCAGACACTCGAGTGGATGAAAGTTTCGCTGATCTCCTGGACGCGTTTGAAGTAGGAGGCTGAGATGTAATCGTTAATCTCGATTCCACTGAAATAGTCGAACATATTTAACAGTTGAGTGTCGGTTTTTTTGCAGTGTCTAAATTAACTTTTTTATATTAAAATTACTGGCACATTATAGCACCATCTTGGGAGTTGCAGTGCCGTTAAAATCTTCAAAAAAAAAAAATTAACTTTTTTCAACGTAAAAAGGTGATTTTAGAACGTCAAAACTAAGGTGTATATCATTATTTATTTTTGTTATTATTATTATTATTATTATTATTATTTTATTATAATTCATTTTTGTTGCCTCATTTTGACATCTCGAACAGTTGAATTTATTACAAACTTGATCCATAAAGATGTAAGTATTTACTTCTTAAATTTTTTTTTCAGCCAAAAACAATGAAAATATTCAACCAAAGTTTAATTCTTTTAAATTTCTCTTTTTATTAAACCATAATTTTCCAAATTTTGATCAAATTTTCCGTCAGAAATCCTGAAACGAAATACTGCCAAAAATATCGAAATACTAAATTTTCATGCAAATGAAAACATTTATAGGGAGCGATTTATCCTAACAATGTTTGTTCATTATGGGCAAATGTTATCTTTCAAAACACACGACGGAGAGATGATTCCTTCATACCTAGCGCTAGAACACTCTTGTTTTTGTTATTTCATCATTCAGAAAATGTATTAAGTAGAATGGTATTATATTGATTGAATAAATAATATGTTTCGCGAATTAAATTTTTTTATAGTTAATTTTTTCAAGTCCTGACCGTTAGAAAAAAAGCATAATATGCCAGAAAGAACAAAATAAAAATGATTCGGTATCGAATTGAAGTTGGTATATAAAATGTTAGAAAACACTTTTGAAAACAGTAAATATAATATGAAATTTTTCTTCGTACATTTTACAGATGATTTAAACGTAATTTAGTTAACGATGACAGCAAATTGCAAAATGCCGTCAGACCAGATTAAAATCAAACAACTTGATCATCATTCTACAGTACTGAACATCCACCAAGCGACCAAATTTCAACACGTAGTACTGAAAATTCACATCATATACGCCATTCAAATTTTGGGCGTAGCTGTTACCATCAAACCAGTTGCCAGAAGCCATGTGCATGCCAGTGCTCCTTTGAAGTGGTGTATTGTCGCGGTCGAATGTGCTGAACATTCTCCCGTTGTGTCCCTGACTGATTGGTAGATTTGTCGGTACGATGTTTAAAACGTCAAAATTATCTCCGTTGTAGTTTGATACGTTCAGAGAGTAGTTGAATTCAGCTGAGTTTACCTGAGTTTGTTTTATGTGCAAGGGTGGTTGTGTTTCGAGGTATTTTATAATTAATTACTTATCAAATTTTTTAATTAATAAATTATATTCATAAATGTTTTAACCAAAACATTTTGCAATTTATTTTTACTTGTTGTATATTAGTTTATGTAAATTTTGTAAATAACGTACTGTTAAATGATGGCATTCATTTGACTATATCAACAAATGTTTGAACTAAAACAAACTAATTTATTGCCGTCAAAACAAATGAAAATTTCATTTCTAACTGATAAAAACTAGGTTGACTAAATTATTTAAAAAAAAACAACTAACCATAAAATGATCGTATTCATCTGAGACCCAGTATCCATTTCCACAGACTTCCAATCTCAAACTGTAGTTGGCAGACGACGTCAGCTGGTGAATGTTCTCCAGACCGAGCCAAAAATTTCTATCAAACTTGCCAAAATCGTTCTGAAAATTTTGTAAAAAAAAACCAGTCAAAAAATAAAAATGTCTTCTTTAAAGTTTTTTTGAAATACTCTACCACCTTATACGTCTCCCACGATTGGTTGAAACTTGTCAAATTACTTATCCTTTGCTGAATGACGATCCAGCGATTAACTTTCACAACATTCAAATTGATTTTGCTGTTTGGAATTCTCAAACTAACTGTCTCGTTGGCTAAATTGGATTCTAGCTCAAAAATAACAAATAAAAATTTATTACACCATTGACACTTTTATAAATTAACGTTATTTCATTGAACAGCTTATAAAATCACTCGAAAAATGCAAACATATTTAAAAACAATATAGATATTGAAAAAAAACTTTGATTGAAGAAGATACATCCTCACTAACGGTAAGGATTTAGACAAACTGACAACCTCCTATACTTATCAAGGCACATTGGCAGAAAGCAGATGTTTTCGACCTCAGGCAAGGCGTTGGAACATGCGTAGAATAAACCCCCTTTGAATGTTACTGGAAAGATGCACTCGTCAACAAACACGAGAGGGTAGAGTGAAACTTTTGATGGGATTTACAAATTTCATTGCAACTTTTCACTAAGCAAAGATAGCGGTCACTTATTTATTCACATATTTTAAATTTATACTCAACATTTTTCTTCCAAGTAAGCAGGCACACACACACAACACACACACTCACTCATGCACTTATAAATAAATATTTTACCTATTTCATTGGTGTAAGCTGAACCAACAGCAGCTAAACAAAATTTTTTTGATAATTTATCATTCAGTAATATTTCATGAAAATTTGTCTTGCAAAACTCACGTAAAGATTTTATAATCCGCCTCTCTTGCACATCCTGTTAAAAGATAATTATTATGTATTTATATCCATTGTAGATAAGATACCTCCTTCCAAGTGATATATTTTAATAGATAATTTAATTTTAATAGTTAAAGAATATTTATTGTTAAACACAAGGCGGATCAAAAGGGGTGGGAGAGGTGAGAAAGATGACACCAAATTTTTTCATGTTCTCTCTTTAGGCCCTTCGTCAAAGTTTTCCAGATCCGCTCTTGGTTGATCGTAATAGCCAATATTTTCATATAACATAGAAAATACCAAAATATTTATCAACAAACCTAATTATGTTCAAAAAATGTTTTCAAAATTTCCTAAGTAAAATTTAAAAGATGACGAAACCAATAACCTCAAAGGCCGAACAGACATCGGATGGAGATTCAATGAAATAATTAACATCGCAGCGATGCACTAGCAATTGACACAACTTGTTCGCCTCATTCTTATTCCCTATGTAGTTAATTGCGTTACAATTTTGCCCAAATTTGTTGTCGAGACTATTGAATTGAGAACACTTGAGAGAACATTCGATAAGCGATCTGATGTTTCTCAGATCTAGTGCACTGTCCGCGTTGAAACAAAGTGAATTGCCTTTAGTATCTCTATGACGATGATAGTTCTTATCTGGTACGCTAATTAGCCATGAAAATGACGGCATTACTGCAAAAATTATCACCAAACTTAACTTCATATTTGTTTTATTTTTGAAAAGGAAGTTTTATTTTTGTTTAAAATTCTAGTATTCTTAAAATGAAACAATGTAAGCCGACGAGAAAACGTTGATACTAGCATATCAAACGTTCAGACACATGTATATAACTGCAGACTGCAATGAGTTTATTACTGGTTGTGGTCATATTAATAACCTTTCATGAATCAAAGTAGGGCTTTTTCGCCATCACTAATAAAAAAAATTGATCAGACTACAAATGTGAAAAATCGGATAAAAATGAAAAATTACATACCTAAAAATTTTTTTTATAAAACAAAAGAGCTTTTTGCATACGTATTTGGTCGATACTGTCTAGCAATCTTGTCTATATTGAAAATAATACAATTGTATGAATTCATAAATTAGTCATTTGGTTGACGTGGGATATTTTATGTAAAATTGTTCTATCTATCTATCTTTCTAACTATATCATTAGTAAATGATGTTAATATAAAAGCAAGCAATCATTCCAAACCAAGACAAAAATAAGCATTATGAATTATTCCTCAATCAATATAGACTCCATTACGTTAAATTGTTAACAATGTTTCGTGCCATTACTACTACAATTGGATTTGTTTCCTTATGAATAATTCATAAAGCCAGTCTGTTAGAAAGTCTAATTAATATTTTCATTAAAGTTTTTAGAAAGGTCTATCTATTTGAGTAAAATTATTTTTCTTCTTTGTTCGTTTGGTTTTCGGTGTGGTGAATCGTCACTGATCCAAGTGGCATAGGCAAAATTTTTTGCGGCGGTAGAGTTTGGATTCCAAAAAGCTTGCGACATTTTATATCGGCCAAAATTTTGTTAAATTTAACATTAACCCACCTGAGTTATCCACTTTTGGAGGGCTTCAGCTTTTGGGTATTGCCCTATCGTATCTTTTTTACTGTAAAATTGTCTAGAAACAAGAGTAGCAATGATGTTATAGAGTGATCAATGGTAGTTTCTGCTCGGTGGATAGTTCAGGGTTAAAGTTTAAATCAAGTACTTTATTTCAATTCTTATGAGCAATTCAATGTATGCAACTTTTTCAAAGTAAAATTCTTTTATAGATGAACATATAGATCGTTTGGTCTTTTATGTCGGGGTTATTTTTGGTTCTTTCAGCTCGGTTTACTGACTAGAAATTTTTTCAGTAACCGTTTCAATTTTTGAAAAATTGTGTTTCCGTTAAAAACAATTGAATTCAATTGAAATTCAGTTGAAATTCGGATAATGCATAAACATTAGCGTCTAGATTTACTGTTATAAAAAGTATCTGGAGTTTTGTCGTTATAGCATTCTATTACAATCACAAAAAGCATTACCAAAAATTTTAATAAGAAGAAAATTTATTAAAATAAATTGTCCACAAGTAAAAAAAGTAAAATTTCAAAAACATTCAAAGTAGTTAACATTAAATGCGCTTTGTAGAACATGCTTTCGACACATCACATATACAATGTCTCTTTTATGAAAAACTAAATAGCTGGCATGTCAATTTATTCATTGTAAAAGATAACAACAACCTCATTTAAGAGATATACTGTGTTTTTATAATAGTAGCACTTAACACACACAACATCTATAGCAAAGAAAGATAAAGAAATGTTTCTAAATTATATTATAAATAGATAAGCAAGCTTTAGAAATATTTTAAAATTCGTTTAAATTGCCAATAAAAAGAAGAAAAATGGCTAAATTTATATCGTTATTTGAATAATCTCGTCAAAACCTGATCAACCTAATTGGATGTAGACAGCTTAATCATCATCCTACATTGTTGGGCATTGGTCAACCTATTAAATCTTTTCATATAGTACTGCAGAGTTTGATTATAGGGGCCATTCAAATTCTGCGCATAGCTGTAACTATCAAACCAGTTTCCAGAAGCATGCTTCAGGCCAGGGTTAGTTTGGAGTGGTGAATTGTCGCGGTCAAATGTGCTGAACACTTTTCCGTTATGCATTTGACTCGTGCTACTAACGTAGTTCATAATGTCCAGGTTGTCACCGCTGTAGTTGGATACTTTAAGTTTGTAGTTGAGGCTTTCTGAGCCTACCTGAAAATGTGTAGCCGTGAAAATGTTTATTAATTGCAGACTTATTAAAAAATTATGGCACTGAATTTGAAATAAGATTTATCTAAAAATTGAGGTAGAAATTTGTTTAATAAAGATCAGACAGAACAATGGCAAATAAAGATATATAAAAACTTTCCAACCTCAAAAGAATCGTACTCATCGGATACCCAGATACCTTGGGCGTAGACCTCAATTCTCAACTTGTACATTCTTGACTTGGTCAGGTTATAAATGTTCTCTAAGCCCAGCCAAAAATTTTCATTGTAGACGCCAAATCCGTACTGTTGGAGAAAATTGGCCAAAAAATGAACTACAATTTACTCAAAATTCTAAAAATATTACTTTGTAGGCTTCCCAAGTTTGATTGAAGCTCAGTGAGTTATCGATTCTCTGCTGAATGACGAGCCAGGAGCTCCTTCTAAGGACGTTGATGGCAGAGTTCGGAGAAGAAGGGAGTTGCAATGTTTCAGTTTTGTTCATGACAGGAAATTCTGACCCAAGAAAAATTTATTCAAATTTTGTAAAAATAAAAATCTCAAAATGTTTTCTATACCTTATCATCACTCTAATGCAGACAATCAAAAATGATGTAAATGAATTTTTACATTTGCTAAAAACATTTGGGCTGTGTAAACAATACTGGAAAAATACAAAAATCACATTAATGACCAAATGGACTGAGACAAACTGTCAACGCTCCACCCTTGGTGTTGCACATGAAGAGACCGCAAGGATTATCCATGCCGAAGATATTGGCGGTACATTGGTGGAAGAGGGCCCCGTTGTACGTGAATGGGAATGTGCACTGCCCTGCCTGCACGAACTTATATTGGGACACTATAGGATAGTTAGTTGAAAGGGTTTGGTGTGTTTAAAAATTTTTTTTATCTAAATTACTTAGAAATATTCCAAAAAATTATTCCAATTATCAAATGCAATTTGTGAAAATTTCAAACCAATCTGAAAGTAAAAAATTTGAATATAATTTTCTTATGGCTTTGTAGAACATTCGTTTGTACATGGTTTGTTTTCATCAATACATATTTACGATGAAGTTAAAATGTCCATACATCAATTGATGACATTAATAATGCTCTCCATGTGAATGTTGTTAAAAAAATGAACGTAAAGTGTTTTATCACTAACGTATCAGTTCAGTGTAGTTCTGACCAATTGCTGAAATAAATTCATCCCAATTTATTAATTCTTTCTTTTAACTCATTTGCTTTTCATTTAATAATTCTCTCTTCACAAATTTTCAAAAACGATAACACACAAAAATCGCACGTGAATGCACGCATCACGCACATAGCACGTGAGCAGCGGGGATCACTTGGTAATCGAACTCGGTCACAGCAAGAGCAGGCGCCTTAACCAATACACCAACTTGCCTCTTAACTGAAATATTCACAACTAACCTTTCGACGCCCTGGCGTCAACATCCTAAATATTTGGAAGAATGTTCAGATATAAAATAATTTGTTAAAGACTGATTTCAACTTCTTGAAATTTAAAAAACCAGCCTCATATCCAAAGCAGGCACTCCAAGGGTGGTGCACCAAGTAGTTGACATCGCAGTCTTGAACGATTAGCCAACAATTTATTTTATGTGTGGGGACGTAGTCGAAGGCTCCGCATTTGTAGCCAAAATCTTGAAAAGCATTATATTGGGAGCATTTGATAGCGCAATCAATACGGGATCTGGAACTAAATTTATGAATTATTTTGGTCAGAAAACAGAGAGTGTTGCCGTCAGAGTCTGCGTGATGACGGTACTTCCGGTCAGGGAGGCTGACTGACCGTGAACAAGGTGCTAAGGTTGCTATGGTGATGATTAATAACACGTACAAGATCATGATGATGATGTTGTATTGATGAATTTTAAATTTTTAAAATTTCACAGCTAAATTTTAAAATTTTTTAACGGTCTTGTAAAATTTGTTAAACTGATTTTGATGTTTGTATATGAATGAGACTTGTTAATAAAAGTTTTAACATTTTTTCAACGTTTTTAAAAAATATTTGAAATTCGAAAAAGTTCTAAGTTTTTACTTGCCACTACCACACCACTAACCAACTGCATTGGCGAAGTGTCTAAGTGCCTACCACTTCATTTTACATAAAACTGAAAAAGGAATAATTAACAAAAACAAGAAAAATATGAAAAACTACAAAAATATTAATGCGTCGTGGCATCCAGATGATTGATTGACATGTGAATTGTTGTTGACGAGTCTGACGAGTGTTATTCAAATCTTAACAAAATAACTCTCTTACATGCAATTAATTACTTTTATTTTACAAGAAAACAAGAAAAAAATTTTTGCAGATGCTATTTGACGAGACAAATATAAAAAAATTAATAATGCAATCTTATTTTTTGAAACATTTTGCATTGCAAGAAACTTTGTCCGTCAAATTTGACGGCTTTTCATACTGGCAGTCTCATAATTATTACAAATTGATCCATTAATTGAATGTTGGCGTCAAAAATACTGCTTTTATTACTACTACTATTTCAATCGCTACCATCGCTGCTACTATTACTACTGCTGCTACTACTGCTACTACTATTACTTCTGCTACTACTGCTGCTATTACTACAAAATTATCATAACAATCCTGTTGGAAAACATACGTACGTACATTGAATGAATAATTTTAATGGAAGATTCGTATGAAGAAGAGTTTTTATTGATGAAATATTTAAAATTTGGAAATTCTATTCAAAAAAATTTGACATTTTCAATGTGTAAATTTTATTAAACTTTTTTTGAAAATTAAAATAGAAAGTTAGAATTATTCGTCCAAAATACATTGCTGAATATTATTTCTATCAATTATAAGCCTAAAAAATTTTTCAATGAGTTAACATTGAAAATATACTTCAACATGTCAGTCAAGCCATCTTAATCATCATCCGGCAGTAAGTTGCAGCAGTCCAAACATTTCCTCTTGCAATGAAGTACATCTGGGAATTTCTGTAGACACAATTGAGGTCCTGGGTGTAGCAATTGTTGAACCAGTTTCCAGAACTGAACAAACTGGCGCAGTGCCTGACGTGGGGGGTGTTGTCTTGATCCGGAGTTGAAAACATCATCCCGTTTTGAAAATGATTCCCGTTGTTGAACACCTGGTTCAAAATGTCCAGGTTGTCACCGCTGTGTCCTGACACGTGGAGTGCATATTTGAAACCCTCGCTGTCGATTAGTTTCTTATGAATAATTGAACACCATCCTTGAAGACAGAGCTCGCTTCTTCGAGAAATTGCTCATTTTCATGTCACCTGACAAATCTCATGTGCATGACAGCGGTGAAAATAATAACCAGATGTATTTTGTTCTTCAAATTATTTGGTTTATTTGTTAACAGGTGTGTGTATGCCTCTTTTCCTTTTTCTCTTACTTTCATTCTCTCTCTCTTTCTATGCTGAAAATTTTTCTCTCACTATATATATATATATATATATATATATGTATATATATATATATATACATATATATATATATATATATATCTCTAAATATTGGATTAAGACTGTCAGAAATGCAATTATTGAGGAAAATCACAGCATGTTCGGCGTTAGTTAACTTCCAATTAATTTTTAATATATATATATATATATATATATATATATATATATATATATATATATATATATATAACCAATCTTTGAAGGTAGGTCCTGACAACCTAGTGCTACAAGAAAAAATAAAACTACTACTGCTACAACAACTACTACTGTTGCCACTACGGCTGCTGCTACTACTACTACTACTTCCGAACAACTACTACTACAACTTCGTCGTTTGAAATTTTTTTGAAAATGATCTTATCTTCCTGCAGATATTTGTTTTAATTTATTCGTTTGTATTTTTTATGATTAAAAAAATTTATCACACTCGCGGCACCGCCCAATCACTTCAACGTGAAAATAAACTTCCAAATTTTCAAGTGCTAATTTTTAATTGAAACGCGCCGAATGAACCCGCCACTCAACTATTCATTCATCACATCGGTCGGATTTTAAAATTTTGAAAATAAAAATAATTACGAGCAAGTTAAAATTATTATTAAACAACTGATAATAAAGCAGAAACACGTCACAATGATGAGGATCGTAAAATATTTGAAAGGATATTTATATTCAGCAATGTTCTTATAATGAGAAATGTTTCAAAAATGATCATAATTAAATATTAAAAATATAATATAATAATATTGAAATGTTTCGATCTAATGAATATTCATGAAAATCACACAAAACACGTTAAAGTATTACTGAAACTCGTAAACTCTACATGAAGTGTCTCTGTAACGTAAAAGTTAAAACTGCAATGCATCTCTTACTCATGTGAGAACATCCATCAGGTCTCATTCAATTATTCTCAACTGCAAGATCAAACACATCACGTGATGATGTGTTTGATCTGACAGGCTGTCTGGAAACGTTACTTTCCATCCCCATCCAACAATCAGTAGCCAGTCATTGAAAATGTCTCAAAGAGAAGAAATATTAAAAGCTATACAAATCACATTTGGAAAATAGCGGAACACTTTGGAAAAATTTCTATCTACAACATTAATTACTGAATCACATTAATTACTGAATCACATTAATTACTGAATCACATTAATTACTGAATCCCATTAATTACTGAAAGCATCTAAACATAAATATTAATCGTCTTCATTCGATTTTATATTCTCATTAAGTTTAAAGGAAATAAACTTTCAATATAATTAAAACAATTAATATAGAAAATTTCCTTGAGAAAAGCAATTACACCGACTGATTTTCATTGAGCATTTAGTGGCAGATGATATCTAAAGTAAAACTGTGAAGCAAAAGTTGAAAAAATGTTCAGAGAGTTGGAACCAGTGTCAGGAGTGTGAGGATGATGAATGAAGGAGTCGCAGTTGACTCGCACACCCTCAAACACCACACAGGTTGCACAAATTTCACGGTGGAAAAGCATGGTTGCTATAAAAAGTTTGCTACTGCACGAATCGATGGTTAACTGTTAAATAGATTCACAGATGTAAAGCTTGCACGAAATATTCGAAATAATTTGAAGGATCTAAAAAAGTAGGATATATGAGATGAATAATCGTAAAAAAACATGCCCTTCACACGTTACGCTTCATCATCATCCGGCTGTAGGTGAGGTAATAACCTGCATAAATGAACTTACCTGAACCATACGGGCCATTCACATTTTGATAAGCACAGCCATTGAACCAATTCCCTGATGAATGCGATGAAGCACAATTAGTGGCCGTTCTATCGTTGTCCTGGTCGGGAGTTGAAAAATTCATCCCATTATGGAAAAAATTTGAAGTTGGATAGTTCAAAACATCTGCCTTATCTCCACAGTATCCGGAAACATTGATGGAATACTTTTTAAGCTCTGAATTGATCTGGGATTGTTTCAAAGACTATATATTCATTAATTAACGGTTGAAATGCGCAAACATAT